TGACTAGTGACAGGATTAACATGCTCATGAGGGTTAGGCTGCCTTTTTTTTTTTTTTTGTGAGGAAGATTAGTCCTGAGCTAACATCTGCTGCCAATCCTCCTCTTTTTGCTGAGGAAGACTGGCCCTGAGCTAACATCCATGCCCATCTTCCTCTACTTTATACGTGGGATGCCTTCCACAGCATGGCGTGCCAAGTGGTGCCATGTCCGCACCCGGGATCCAAACCTGCAAACCCTGAGCCCCTGAAGCGGAACATGCAAAGTTAACCGCTGCGCCACCGGGCTGGCCCCTAGGCTGTCATTTTATTACAATAAGCTTTCATCACTAAAGAGTTATAGTCAAAAAACACAAAAATGAGTTTCAAGTCTGTGTAGTAACAATGGCTTTAGTGAGTGATAATAGGGAAAGTGGCCGCCACCATAGAGAAAAAAATACTGACCCCTGTCTCACACAGCAACAAGCTTCAGAGGGCTCACAGGCCTCAATGTGAAGACGGAAATTATAAAAAGAGAAGAAGAATGGGGAGCACAACTATAAGACAGAAATAAGTGATTAAATAAAGGAAAAATGACAGACCTGACTGTGTCAAAAAATGTATTTCTGTGAGACAAAAGACACAAGATGATATTAAATATTATTTAATATTAAAATTAATATTGAATTATCAAATATTAGATAAAATATACAAGCATTATTTAATATTATTACCTAATTTAAATTATAATATTGAATATTCTTATCTACCCTAAGCTACAAGAAATAAGGTTTCGGTTTTTTAGGGCCACACTAGAATTTCTCTGGTTCTTTGTGCATTTGGACGGCTAGTTTAAAATGCTAAATTTCATGATTATTTTTCTCTAAGCTCTTCAGAGCTGTCAAAACAGCCCTCTGTCCCCTAAAGGCTTTGTGATCCTTGTCACCAGTGGTCAGTGCAGCAGCCAGTCAGTGTCCCAGAGTTCTGCCTCCGACAGACGCCCTGGCCCAAGCGTCCGGCTGCAGGCTGTGCGGGTGCTCAGGCAGCCCTGCGGAGAGGGCCACGGGGCAAGGACTCGAGGCGGAGGGTCCAGCTCCTGGTGGAAGGACATGAGGGCTGGAAATGTTCATGATAGAGGAGATTTACTTCTAAGTTAAGGAACTTTCTTGGAGACAATATCCCTTTTCTCATGACCACGGCAGTAATGAAAGGAGGTGTAATTTTTACTCTCAGTCTTCAACGGCATTCTCCATTTAGTCCTGACATTCTACTTTCTCTTTAAGATGTTTCTGTCCAGTTATTTTGTCTGCATTGAAAATTATATTATAAAATATTACCTAATAACATACAATTTTAATTTATAATTATATAACATAACTTACGGTATAGTCACATAATACCATACGATTATAATGTTATTAATCTGACTTGCAGAAGAACAGCTACCAGTCAGAGAGGATAGGGCGTGTTGCTCTAACAAACGATCTCAGCATCTCATGGGCCTAAAGCAATGGCTGATGTCCGCTCTCGGAGTACGTGCACCCGGGGCGCCAGGGGCTCTACCTCTTGCCGTCTCATCCGCAGACACAGCCCATCGGAGCCTCCATCATCTGAGGTGCTGTTGGCACGGCAGGTGGAAGGGAATGGGGTGATTCGCTCCCTGACTCTGAAAGGCTTCTGTGGCAGTGATGCAAGTCACTTCTGCTCACGCTCCCCTGGCCAAAGACAGTCACAGGGTCATCCCTAACTCCAAGGGGGCAGGGAAGTGCGATCTCACCCTGTGACAGCAAGAAGAGGCCCCAACGCCGGCCAGCTGCACTGACTCCCACCACGGCACGTCACCAACTCACCACAGTTCCCTGGCCGGAGACTGCCAAAATGGGGCTGGGAGCAAGAGAAATCTAGAGAAATCATGAGCAGGGAGAGTCCAGTCACGCCCACCGTGACCGTACAACCTTCTGCTAAAACCTCAGAAAAGTCACAGGTCAGAGAACTCAGTCACCGTGGGTCTGCTGTTCCTCAGCCAAGTCAGCACGCAGCCAAGAGGGAGAAGGGATGATTGGAACCGATCCCCTCTTATAGTAGAGTGAAGCCTGCGACATCCACAGAAGGTCCCCAGAGGTCTTGAGGAAGTTATTCCAGCAAAAATGCTACCAGCTTGGACTGGAAGGGACAGAAAGAGAACAAATGGAACAAAATGAAAGGAGGTTGTCGGGCGAAGCTAAGTCTGCGGGGAAATCTTTGTGCAGCCACCGCTAACTAACACAGGTACCCATTCAAGCACTTGGTTAGTTCCTCATCAATCCATCCATCCACCAGTCCGTCTGTCCATCCATCAGTCCATCCATCCATTCATCCATCCATCCATCCATCTACCCATCCATCCATCCATCCATCCATCCATCCGTCCATCCATCCATCTACCCATCCGTCCATCCATCCATCCGTCCGTCCATCCATTTGTCCATCCATCCATCCATCCATCCATCAATCCATCCATCCATCCATCCATCCATTCATCCATCCATCTGCTCATTCATCTATTCATTCTGTCGATTGTGTTTGTCTGCCTGCCTCTGGGGACACGTAAGTTCCCTTAGGGCTGGCATCTTTCTTTCCTTTGTCCACTGATGTACCAAATCTGCACAGAGTGCCTGGGATGGGGAAGGCACTGGGGAAATAGGCGTTGAATGAGCAGCCTCAGGCCACGTGCCTCCTGTAGGTTCTTCTTTCAGGAAGAAGGCTCTGTTTTGTTTTTCTTGTCTTGCTCTCCTCATTCATTCAACATTTGCTAAGTACCTAATGCGTACAGACGCTGGTCAGCAAACTGCTCCAGGAAAATTTTTAAAACTCCCACCCCTCCTGGAATGCTCACTCAAGGGCAGGAGGGGAGAGACCAACAACAGAGACACAAAGCCACTAGACAGCTTGACCCTTGTCGGATGGCAATAAAATAAAAGAGGGAAGGGGGACAGGGCTCCCTCCCACAGAGCTGCACGGGGCTGAGGCTGACCTGGGAGTCCTGGGAAGGGGGACAAAGGGCACAAGGAGGTCCTTCCTGATGGACCCGTTCGGGTAAGGGGCACTCAGTCTTGGAGCAGAGAGATGGACCCACCTGACAGTGGGGATGACGTGGGGGGTGGGGGGATCTGGAGGGGTGGGGAGCAGGTCAACCTAAAGCAATAAACTGAGGCCAGGAAGTGATATTTCAAGGGACCCTTCTGTTATGAGTTTTGTCCCCCCAAAATTCATATCTTGGAGCTCTAACCCCCAGTACCTCAGAATGTGACCTTATTTGGAAATAGGCTCATTGTGGAGGTAATTAGTTAAGATGAAGTCATACTGGAATCAGTGGCCCTAATCCAATACACCTGGTGTCCTTATAAAAAGGGGTGACTTAGACACAGGGCTACACACACAGGGAGACCACCGTGTGAACATGAAGACAGAGATCGGGACCATGTGTCTACAGGGAGCCCAGTGATGGCCAGCAACCACCAGAAGCTGGAGAGAGACTCTCCGTCAGCCTCAGAGGGACCAGCCCTGTGACACCTGGTCGGGGACTTCTCTTCTCACTCAGAGAGAATGAACTGCCGTGGTTCAGCCACCCAGTTTGCTTACTATGCTCTGTGGCCCCAGGACACCCACACGCCTCCTCTCAGAAAAGGGAAAACGCCGGAGCCGAGTCCTAATGAAAGAGCAGGTGCCATTCTGAGCATCGTGACCAAAGTTCCTTTCCAGGAGGTTTGTGTCTCGGCAATGAGAGCGTTGCTTTCTGTCATTTTCAAACAGAAAATGAAAGGTTGCTAAATGGATAAGTAATTTTAACTGAGTCATTGATCTGAATACTTTTAAAGTGAAACCATAAGTGTTTCTGTCCCACTTTGAAGTCAGCCTCCACGCTCCCTTTCCTCCCTCGGGGGCATTTTATAGCCATTAAGAATGTGTTCCTTTTATCTGGGCCTTCAATTAATTGAATTTCAAAAATACTCTGAAATGGCTTTTTTTATATAAAAATCAGCTAACTCCGGGAGCACATTCCTGCATGATTTACTGTCACAATAATTAAAAGCGGGCGCGTTACACCGGTCACTGGGGGAGCGAGCCGCCCCCTTCTATCCTGGAGCCTCACGTGGGATTTGTGATGCTCCCCAGATGCCCGTGAGGAGCGAGGGACACGCTCACTTTTAGGACTGCACTGGATGACCGCTGGAGTCACCCCTTGAAGGGGACACTCAGCTATTCACAGGACAACTAAACGCACGTGCAAGGCAACACCTCAACTGCAGACAATGGAGCATGATGTGGCCAATGTTGGGAAATGTGCCGACCGCCCATCCTCCTTCAGGGGAATCGCTGAGTGGAGTTCCACACAGATCTCCCGATACCCTGACAGGGAGGAGTGGAGAACAGGTCAAAATGCCAAAACTCGGAGAGCAGCTGAGCTTGAGAGCGAGCACCAAACGGTGGGTCCATCCCATACGCGCTCCACTCCCACCACCTCTTTCTCTCTTATTTACTTATTGACCTGTGCAAATGCCGTGCAGTAGCTTGCCACCTTCTATTTGTGAAAGTATTTTTGCAAGCATCTGCTAAAGAACAGAGTGTGTAAATGAGAACAGCCAGGAAGCAGCCACCAAGAAGCAGCCACTATGGGGAATATATTCTCTCTTTGTGCAAATTCCACAGGGGGTGCCCAGTGAGGTCCTTCTTTTGAGGGCCCCTCGCTCACTGACGCTGACTATTTTCCCAGGCCCCTTGCATGAATGCTAGCTCATGCACTGAAGACACAAATTTACATTTCTTTTCTCCCTAGTAAAGATTTTCTCTTCTAATACGATGTCAAAGAATTCAAAATGATATTCAGACTCCAGACGATGATACGTCCTGTTACCTTTCTCTACAATTTAAAAAATCACGTCACCCCATTTGGCTGTCTTCTAGCCAGGGCGTTCGTGATTGGAGACTGCTCTGTAAACATTTCAGGTTTAAACATACAGACCACAGACATTGTTTAAATTAATAGCTTTTCACTTTTAATAATAGAAACATCCCTAAAATCTGCTGATGCATTCCGGCATGATAGACGAGACATCATATTCCTGAAGCGAAGAGAAAGAACAAACTTTTCAACTGGTGCTCCCTCAACCTCCTTCCGACCCCAGGAGGATGGAAAGGAAGCTGAGACAGCAGAGCCGTGAGGCTCCCTGCCCTTCAGTCCACACGCTCACTCCACGCAGCGACCACAGGCGCCTACCCCGGACACCGCTCTGCTCTGAGAAGGAAACTGCTCGGACTTTCTGCATTAAGTAATTCCACGTTTGCATCACACTGTGAAGGGGGGAGGAAGGGAGAGAGTTACCCTGTGGCCCCAGATCCAGTCGGGAACAGGATCCCAGTGCTTCAGGGAACTTTTCAAAGATGAAAGATGTTGCTCCCCACTCCCCACTCCTAGGATGTGGGCCCCCAAACACTGCTGCTAAGTCGGCCCAAGGAGCTGGTACCAAAGGCCAGACCCTTCCAAGGACAACAGCGTCTTTGGGACTCCAGTGTCCAGGAATCCTTCTGAGGCCGTCCTCACTCAGGACCAGTTGCTGCAGCCTCCTCCTCGGCCTGGAGAAGAGCCTCTAGCCCCTCCTGGGTCCCTGAGGAGGGGGGGAGAATGAGGCTGAGGACCCCTCGGCCATGGCAGGCACCGGGGCAGCATCAGAGCCAGCCCAGTCAGCTCCATCACAGTGTTTTCCACCACCAGATGCCTCTGCGTGTTGCAGCAACGTTCAGGCGAGGGGGAGGATGCGGCTGCACGGCCAAGTCCTGGGGGCACGGAGACTTTTGTTTCAGATTGCACGAAGTCTCTGCCAACAGGGAAAACAAAAGAGGGATTGAGAGATGCTTCATGGGGAGCAAGGACTGACCAGAGCTGGGGGCATGGTGGTTGGTGGGGGCAGCCGTTGGCCTTGTTGCCCTGCAGCGCACGTGCCAGGGCCTATCCGCAGGTCAGCCCCCGGGAGGACTTCTGTCCTTCAGGGGTGGCCAAAGCTGCAGACTCGCTTTCCAGACTGATCATTCACGGACGCCAAGCGGGGACTTTCCCCGCTAGGCCCCCGGGCCGAGACCTGGGGTATTTCCATCATGTCCTCAGAGTTCCAGCCCAGGAGGGTATGGCAACCTGACAAGAGGGCTGGGACCACTCCCTGCCCTGGAGGTCAATGGCCGAGGGGTGGAGGATGTCTGCTGGTGCTTCCGGTCACTTGGTCAGGGGTCCGAGGCAAGGTCGGGCCTGACGGCGTTCAAGCAATGGGACACCGAGGAGGGTCTCTGGGGGAGGCGGGTGAAGGGAAGGGCCAGGGAGCCCACTGCACGTTGCCCCTCCTGGGCTGGTTCTGTTGCTTCTGGGGGTGCTGGTGGGGGCCAGCTAGGGAAACCCCAGGGGTTGTGGGGCTTCGCCTCCTGCTTCCCCACGTTTGTTTGTTGTGTTGTTAAAGAGGCCTTGGTGAATTCGAAAGGAGTTTATCTCCAGATCGAGATTGTAAACACAAGCCTGCCTGGCTCATCTTCAGCTATGAAAAGAATCTAAGTCCCAGGTAAGCTCTGCAGGGCAGGATGGACATGCTTGTCCCTGTTGGCCCCAGGGTCCTGCAGAAAGCATCCCTCAGGGCATGAGGGAGGAGACGGAAAGAAGAGAGCTGAACCGCAAGACAAGGATGGAAGCCAGCCCCTCTCCCCGAGGAGGGTGCCATGGCCCTTTCCTCCCCATCCCTACCTAGTCGCACCCCTTCCCAGGACCCCTTCCGTCAGCCCACGGAGTCAGCCTGTGGGCTACACTGACACATGGCATGTCTGGGCGGATGCCCACAGGTCTGTAGCCCAGATGAGGCTTCATGTTTCCAGAGCAGGCCCAGAGACCAACACTGTGTCCTTCCCAGAGAAGACACCAGAAGCTCTGGATTCAGCACGAGGGGAGGCAAGCCTGGGGCTGCTGGCTCTCTTCTTTTTCCGGATGGAAGCTCTGCTCCATGGAGGAAATGGAGGGACAGATGAGGCCTGGAGACAGACTGTCCCGGTGTGCTGTTGCTGAAGCAAGCGATATGTACTGCCCCTCCAGTGTCTGCAGACGGCTTTGAGGAAAAAAAGGGGAAAACAGCAAACAACTTTTTCAGACATTATCCAAGTCAACACACCTTAAATGCCATTGCGCCGCCACGAATCATGAGAAGAAACAAACCCGTGGTTCTCTGAAGGGAAAATGATGGGGTGGGGGTTACACACGGCCAGGGATGCCAGACCCCCCCGAGGAAGGCTCCTGGAGCCTGGGACCTACGACCACACACACATCACCTTCCCTCCAGGCCTCAGGATGCAGAAACCACCGGCTGTCACGCGGAGGTGTATTTCCAGGCCAGAGACCCAGCCCGCCAGGGATCCAGAGGGTCCACAGAAGCTCCAGAAGCTCCCGTGTCAGGCTGCCCAGTCCGGGGCAGGTCACAGGTTCCCCGGCAACTGAGCAGTTTGTCACCCTGCTACACCTGCCTACACCTGCCTAAGCCCTCCAGCCCACACCAAGGCTCTCGGGGCTGCCCAGGGCCTGCAACCGGCAGAGCTGGGGGCAGGGGCGGGAACCAGCGTGGACAGCAGCAGGGGAGAGGCTGGGCTCCCTTAGTGTGAAGGGGCAATGGGGGGTGGAGGGGAGAAGAAAGGAAAGGCCTGGGGGCCAGGATGTCCAGTCTATTCTGAGGAGTAGCCCGCCGGTCTGCCAGCCGCAGCGCCCTCAACCAATCTCCAGGGCTCCAGGGTGGGATACCACGGCCGAGGGGGTGCTCGGGGGACTCGGGGAACTGGGGCCAAGAAAAGCAAGGCTGTCTCCAGGCGCAGCTCCTCCGGCCCAAGTGGCCCCGAGTGGTACAGCCAGACCGCAGGGAGGGCTCCCTGAGGGTCCCTGAGGAGTCCAAGGCCGCCTGGAGAGGCCCAGCAGGCCAAACATTTGGTCAAATCAAGGCGGCGCGCCTTCCTGCTGTCCTGTTATGGCTGGGCTGTCGGCTCCCGGCCGGCGTTCCCGCCCAACCCGCCACGGGCGTCCCTGCCCCCATCCCGGGGCGCCCCTCGTCCCAGCCCCTCCGCCCCACGCAGCCGACGCGCGAGCCGCGCGGAGGGCAAAGTTGGCAAGTGCACGGCGCCCGCGGGGGAAAGCGTTAATGGGCGGCCGGGTGGGAGCAGCGCGCTCGCTCGCCCACGTCACGCCGGTGCGGGCTCTGCTGACGACCGCGGCGCCTGGGGACGCCGGCGCGCTCCGCTCGCCAGGTGCTCCGCCTGGAAATGTCTCCATTAGTTGTCGCCTGCTCCCCGCCGGAGCGCGCGCGCCGAGCGGCCGCGCAGAGCCCTCGCGGGCGGCCGGTAGTGGCCCGGCGCCACAGCAGGTAGGCGAGGTCCCCGCGCCCGCCCCCGCCCCGGGGCTCCGAGACCCCTCCCCCATTCCGGGGAGGCGGAGGCTCCGCGCGGCCGCCGAGGGGCGCGGGCGGCAGCGACTGCGGCGACTCCCCGGTGCGTCCCGGGCTGCGCGCTGCTCCCCGCGGCCCCGGCGCCCGAGCGGCGCGGGCGGGCGCGTCCCCAGCGCAGGTAGGGAGTGGGATCGGCCGCACAAACTTTGCGAGGATCGCTCCTGCGCTGGAGGGCACAAAGTTTGCTGCCTGCCGGTGGGGTCTCGGGAGGCCGCCGCGTTTGCTGCAAGTTGGGGAAAACGGGATGCGGGGGTAGCGCGGGGGCTAGCGCCGGGCAACAAGGCCTCAGTCCAGAGTCCTCGACCGCGCGCCTTCCGGGTTCGGGCGGCGCCCTGCGAGCGAGCGTTGGGGTCGCGGCGGGAGATCCGGAGGGAGCCAGCCAGAATGGAGGGCGTTTCGGGGAGAAGGATTCAAGGCGTGCGCCTGCAGCTCGCTCCACTGGCTTCGCAGGGGACCCCGGAGGACGGGCTGCGAAGGAGTGACCTGCCACCCTCGGGGTTCGCTAGCGCAGCGCCTCCGACTTGTAGAACGCCTCTTAGCCCTCCACCCCGACCGGGTGTCCACGAGCAGTGGACAGGCACAGACACCCCAGGGGCTCTGCCCTATGCCTCCGAAAGGAAGGCCCCTGCCTGGTGCTGCGCGCTCCCGCCTCCGCCCTCTGCCTGGGGTCAACTTCGCTGGGCTGGAGAGATCCCTCTGGCGGCTCTCGGTGCGCCAGACGGCGGTGGCCCCCGGGGACGACTCTGGGAACTGGCCGGGAGTGCCCGGGCTTTGCTGGTAGCGAGGGCGAAGCCACTCACAGAGCAGGGAAAGGTCGAGGCGCGGCCTCTCGCTCCAGAGGCCCCCCCACGGTTCCGATGGTCCCTGGGCAAAAGGCGCCCTCTTGGCCTCTAATGTCTGGCACTAAGCTTCCTCAGGCCCCTTCGCCCTTGGCTCCTTTTAAACTCAGCAGGCCAGTGGGGGCACCTCGCCGAAGCCAAGGAGCTGCCCTGTCCATGGGGAACCGCGTGGTTTCCGGCGAGTCCTGCTCACGGGTGTACTAGAACAGGGGGTCCCTCGAGGGCCGTGGGCTCAGCACGCCACGTCTGTGCAGGCGCACTTAGCTGATGATACCTGAGAGGCTGGCGCTCCTGTCCGCTCTCTAAGGGAAACCCGGGTGCCTCTGCTCGAGTTGGCCTTTTAGGAAAGGGCATTTGGATAGTTATTCTGGTATTATCTGTGGGATAAAATGGCCCAGAAAGTACCCCGGTTCGGGCAGCGGGCCTCGGCCAAGGCTCAGGTTGTCAGCGGAATGTCTTGTGGTTGTGCGCCAGGCGGGGTCCGAGTGAGCAGCCAAAAAGCGCGAGGCTCCTCGGCTGGCCCCAGCTTCCCCAAACAGGGTGGCCAAGCGAGGCCCGCGCAGTCACCCTGGGCCTGGGGCGGGCAGGAAGCGGAGGACCAGTGAGCAGCGGCCAGGGAAAGCGGAGTCGGTGAGCTGGATTTCAGGATCCGGGCGAGAGGGTCGCCCGCGAGAACAGGGCCGGGCCAGTGGGGACTATGAGCGTCTGTTTACGCACGCAGGCTGGAAAGAAACACAGGAGAACGTTGCAATGATGCTCCAAGCCCCTGAAACCCCTCCCCCAGAGGCCTCTACTGACCGGCTGTGCCCGCCCCGGCTCTGAAAGCACGTCTGCTCAGAAGATGAATGGTCGCGTGTTCAGACGCTGCTCTCTGCGAGCTGTGCCCGAGTCTCCGGGGAAGGAAACGCGGCGCGCAGGCCTGGGTGTGCCGCGCGCTGCGAGCCGGAGCCCTGAGCACTGGCCTATGGGACCTGGTCGGTGGCTTCCTCCGCCGCCTCCTGAACGCTGACAATGGCCAAGGCCGGGGCCACGGGAATGGGCTGAGGAAAGGATGCTGAAGGCCATCCTTCCAACACGATTCCTGCTCCCTAGGCCCTCAGCCACCCCGGCTTGTGCCCCTCCCTTGCCCAGGCCTCATTACCGGGAGCGAGTTGTTTGTAAACAGTAAATAATGGAAAGTAGGTGGTGTTCAGAAAAGCCTCGGCAGAAGCCGGAAAGCTGGAAGGAGCTGGGAGGAGGGAGAAAGGGGGAGGGGAGGAGCAGAGGAGGAAGAGGGAGAGAGACAGATTCATTTCTGCCCGAGAAGCCCCGGTGGCTAGTTTCTTATTATTTACAGGAAGGTGATATTAGCAATTCAGGTGAGGAAGAAATAAACATGGCCTCCACGAAATCAATACAGAATTCAAAAACAATTATTAATGTCATTTGACTCGTGTTCTTTATATATCTCTCCGGGCTACAGACGCTAAACTGTCTGAATAATTTGCATGGAGTGGCTATTCATTATTTCCCATGATTTTCCTTTGCAAGCAGCTCGGACGTGGCCGGCTTCGGTCCAGCGCCATCAGAGAACTCGTATTTTCATCTGTAAATTAAAGCAATTACGCAGTAGATATTATATGATGCGTACTGTGGTCTCCAGATACTCATCAATCACCTTCAACCGAGCTGTCAGAGGGGCAGATTTGGTTTCTGGGAGGCAGGTTTGCAGCTGGGGAGAGGGCGAGAACCGTCATCATTAATTAGAGGGTGACCCTGCGGCGATTCACAGGTCTGAACCTAGGAATCTTTCCCAGCAAGTCTGCACAGCGCCGCCGTGCACGGCTCCCCTCCCGGCCGACCGCGGGAGGCCAAACGGGGCGACTGCGGCAGAGGAGAGTCCGGCCCCCGGAGGGCGGCGGCGCAAGAGGCGGGGAGCGAGCTCGGGGTGGCCGGGGCGCCCCCTTGCCGCCTGCGCTCTGGCCTCCGCTTTGGACCGGGCGAGGTTCCAGGGCCAGGACTGGCTGGGGAAGTCCTGGGCTGGGCACTCGCTCTCCTCCCCAGACCGAGGCGCGCGTCCCGGGCCAGGAGCTGTGCAAAACAGGCAGGGAAGGACGCGTGGGCCTGGCGCCCCCTCCCCCGTTCCTAGCCCCAAAGATCGCCGGGAGGAGCGAGCTTAGCGGGAGGGGCCCCGGAGCTGAGTCGGGAAACCTGCTCTTCCGAGTGCGCGGGATGTCTGGCAGTCCCCGATTTAGCCGCGAGGGGCAGGGGGAGGGAGGGGGGCCATGTGCCCCGCAGGAACTTATAGGACAATGGGAGGGAGGTGTGGGGGTGGAGGGCGTCCCCCTGGGACAAGCGGCCGAGTGCAAAGCCCCGTAGCACTTGCGCCACGGAACCTTGGGATGGCGGGCTCTGGGGAAGGCCCCACGACTCACACACCTGAGGGCATTTTCACCTCCAGATGCAGACACTCTTGGAGCCGCATCTGGCGCTGGAACTGCGTCCCGGTGTGGGGTTCGAACTGGTGGGAGGCGTGTCTGACTCCCGGTTAAACAATAGTCGGGCCTCGCTGCCTCCCGCCGCCGCGCGCCCGGCCTGCGGAGCCGCCCTCCTTCCACCTGGAGCGGAGCGCGGAGCGCGGAGGCCGGGCCGCCTGCGCCCGCGCGGCTAATTTTAACTGTTGATTACATCTTCAGTGAAGACTCAGTCGTGTGTCCCTTCATATGTCTCATTTGTAATTGAGACTAATGATTACAGTGGGGTGGGAAGGAGCAGCTGCTCATTAATTAATTTCTAATTAAAAGTGCCTCCCGTCCTCGGTGACTAAGGAGGAACACGGTTCGTCGGGGCGATATTGACTGCTCGGGTGAAATTCATTTGTTGGAGCCTGTTGGCCCCTCCGCCCCGCGCGGCCGGCCTGTCTCCGCCCTGCCCGGCCCGGGCCGCGGCCGAGTGACCCGCACGTCTGCGGACAGGCCGGACTGCGCGGTGGGGGTGACGTCAGAGCCTCCGGCGCTTAAAGCCGCGCAGAACTGACTTGACGGGTTCGCGCAACTCGTTTTTTTTTTTTTCCTTTTTTGCAAAATATGTATTTGTGTCGCCGCTGCGAGGCCGGTCGGTTCCAGAGCCCCCTCGAGGCTCCGGATTGTGAAGCTCAAAGGACCGCTGCGGCCGCCGCGGCCCGCTGTCCTACCCGGTTAGAAAAGTTTGCGGAGCGTGTGGATGAATTAACCGGGTCTTCTGCTTCGCTCTCCCAGCGCCTAGGAGCCGGCGGCCCCGGAGCAGTGGCCGCGCCACGCCGGCCCCCGCGCGCAGGACCCTCCCCGGCCCCGCCCGCCGGCCCCGGGCCGCGCCCGCCATGTCCTACCCGCAGTTTGGATACCCGTACTCCTCTGCGCCCCAGGTAAGGGGGACCCGCGAGCGCCGCAGAGAACGCGGCCGGACACGCCGGCGGGCGGGCTGTCCAGTGCCCAGGCGTCGCTTCCCAGCGAGCAGGGCCTGTGCCAGGCGTCCCTGGCGCCCAGCCCGGGGGGTGGGGGCAGGGGCGCTGAGGAAACCCCGATGGGCAAGGCCCCCATTTCTCGCTTTGTTTAGCCCCCACACTGGGCTCTGAGGCTGAGCCCTAGGGGGCCTGGGGATCGGAGAGAGCCGGGGCACAAGAGGGCGTGCGCAGCCTTGGAACCCCCCGCCCCAACCCCGGGGAGGGTGTGAACACTCCCGCACCGGAACAGGCTGGGCCCCACGTGGCTGGAGGAGGCCAGGAGCGCGCAGGCTCCCCACGGGAAGGAACGCGCGGTCCCGAGGACATGTGGCACGCCCTCCTGGGCGGCGCGAGGGGCGGATGGAGGCCCAGGGCCCCAGCCTGGCGCTCGGGTGCCCCGCCCTTCCTCCTGGCCCTTCTCTCCCTCAGTTCCTGATGACCACTAACTCCCTGAGCACGTGTTGCGAATCGGGTGGCCGGACTCTGGCCGACTCCGGGCCGGCCGCCTCCGCCCAGGCGCCCGTCTACTGCCCGGTCTACGAGAGCCGGCTGCTGGCCACCGCGCGCCACGAGCT